TCAGGAGCTATATGGGGCTAGAGCTCAGTGGAGAGGTCTGTTCGAAGGTAGAAGGGTAGATGTCACTATTTTACAGGGGACCCTTAAAGCCATTACAGAGAGGATCACCCTCAGAGAGAGCAAGCAGACGAGATGAGAGGAGAAAAATTACCTCAGGCTGCCTTTTTAAAATAAACCCCAACCCCCCCAATCCCTGGCAACCACTGATTTGTTCTCTGTCCCTATAATTTGCCTTTTCCAGAATGTCAAATAAATAGAACCATGCAGTGTTTAATCTTTGGAGACTGGCTTCTTTCATTCAGCGTAGTGCCGTTAAGAGTCATCCAAGTGGTTGCATGTATCAATTCCTCTTCCTTTTTTATTGCTGAGCAGTATTCCGTTGTATGGATGTACTGCCGTGTTTATCATTTACTCTTTGAAGGACATTTAGGTTGTTTCTAGTTTGGGGCAATTATGAATAAAGCTACTGTAAACATTTGTGTACATGTTTTTGTGTGAACATCAGTTTTTATATCTTTAAATAAATCCCTAGAAATAGGATCGCTAGGTCATATGTTAAGTGTGTGTGTAACTTTTTAAGAAATTGCCAAACTGTTTACCATAATGGCAGTATTTTTCCCACCAACAATGTACAATCTTAAAAACTTGAATGCTATTTTAGATGCTCTTGGGTTGAGGTTGGCAAATGGTGTTTCACAACTCCTTGGGGTTTTGAAGAGATGCCCCACGACAAAGGGAGAGCCTCTAGGTCCTCCTTACCCGCTTCAAAGAGAACCGCTCCAGGTTTTTTGTTTTATATATTGAGTTCTGTATAAGAATACATTTGGGGAGAAAAGAGGTTTATCTGGGAAGTGTTAGAAAACCATTGCATCCAGAGGGAGGGATGTGGACCACAAGTGTTACCCAGGGTGATGTGAGATGGCGCTCCAGGACTCTGCACATAGTGAGGACCACAATTCCCTCCTCAGCTCCTTTTCCATCCATGTGATTATGTCAAGGAGGTCTTCACTTAGACTGATATGTCTTTAACATCCTCCAACACTTGTTGATGTCTTCTTTTACAAAGAGGGAGCAGGCTACCAGTCTCAGAGCCTTCAGCAAACAATAATATCTATCTACAGTCATGCACTGCATAACGATGTTTCAAATGGTCAACGACGACCGCATATATAACAGTGGCCTCATAAGATTAGTACCATATAGCCTAGGTGTGTAGTAGGTTATAGCATCTAGGTTTGTGTAAGGACACTCTGTGATGTTCACACAATGACAAAATCGCCTAACAACGCATTTCTCAGGACGCATCTCTGTCATTAGCAATGCATGACTGTAGAATGAAATAAACATACGGCTTTTTGAAAAAATATATTATTTTTATGGTTATCTTCTCTTTATGACAAGTACCACTGGTTTTCCATTTTTCTTTTGAAGTGAATTTATTTTATATTTTAAAAAAATGGGTCAATTTAAAGAAAGGAAAAATACTAAATATTATATATCTTATGCACAAATATGGCAAGAATTATGAGAGTGTGCTAGAGTGACTGTCTGGAAAACTCTGAACTAGGAGATCTAGTGATTTAAATAGATCAAAGTGAGTTCTTAGTGAAGCGAAGAGAGCTCCTTGGTAAAGTGCATTAACTGTCTCTTGGTTTATCTATTTTGTGAGTTTATAAGTTTATATAATAGTAACTTCTTAAAGCTAGCCCTGGCTGTCTAGTGGTTAAGATTTGGTGCTCTCACCACATCAGCCTGGGTTTGTTTCCCAGTCAGGGAACCACAACACCTGTCTGTTGGTTGTCATACTGTGGCGGCTGTATTGCTGTGATGCTGAAGGCTATGCCACCGGTATTTCAAATACCAGCAGGGTCACCCGTGGTGGACAGGTTTCAGTGGAGCTTCCAGACTAAGACAGATTAGGAAGAAGGACCTGGCCACCCACTTCTGAAAAAAATAGCCATGAAAACCCTATGAATAGCAGCGGAGCGTTGTCTGATAGAGCAACGGAACATAAGAGGATGGCGCAAAAGACCAGGCAGGGTTCTGCTCTGCTGTACACAGGGTCACTAGGAGTCAGAATTGACTCAACGGCACTAACAACAAAATTTCTTAAAAGAAGACAGTCTTTCCATTACACTTTGTTTTTGCAATACTTGTTTTTCAAGTTCCTTCTTTATTCACTGATTTGACAAATATTTATTGAAAGTCATTAGGTGAGCAGTGAGGATACAGTGGTGAACTCAACAGACAAGGTCCCCTGCCCTCGTGAAACTTATTTTCTTAAGTCCTTCCTCTTTCCCTTCTTAAAGGCTCTTCAGGAACCGTGGAAAACAAGGGCCTCTGGATAAAATTTAAAGGATGTGAAAGACAAAGAAGAGAGAAATGACTTTTTAAAAAAGTTATTTTGATACTGTCAGATGGAGAAATAATTTTATTTTTATCGTGTCTTTGGAGCCGTCTAGATCTGTACTTTATCTTCTGTTCGAAGCATTTTTGCATTTTGGTGAAGTCATACATACCTGCAGACATACTAGTAAACTACATGACTGTTTGAGGACCCTTCTAACCTTAGGTACATGAGGTAGGTATCACAGACAGGGAGCGATGCTGTTGTTAGAATGCGCCTTGATGCCAGGACCTTTTTGAAAGTAGACATCTTTCACACCAGACGTCACAAATTGGCAGCTGCCTGAATTCTGTTCAGCCATTGGTGTTTCTTGTTTGGCCCACACAGTATTTAAAATTAAAAAAAAATTTAATTTCCAACACTTAAAAGTCAGGAGTTTTTATATTAAAAAGAAAACCAGATTTCTTTGAAAATTCATGAATCTGGCACCATTGAATCAGCTTTTCTGAATGGCAGGGTTGACCATTGGTGAATAGTGGCTGCCTCTTTGGACAGAGCACATGCTCTCTTCAGGTAACCTCTGCTTAACTCATTCATGTTACCGTCCTGGCCCTAGTGGGTATTTGAAATTACAACCCTTGCTTTAGCAGTTTGGAGCCTGAGCTTCATGCAGTGGAAACTGAGCATTCCTCCCTGTGCTGGAGGGCTGAAAATGTTATTGCCTTGGAAGCTCACTGAGTGTCCAGTGGGGGGTGTATTGCCTGGTATAGTAGATGTAATTCTAGGAGGCAGAGATCAGCGTCCTTTTCCTGTCTAGTGCTAGTGAGGTTATCTTGGATCCTTGACAATGGAGATACTATTTCCTGTCTTATCTATTCATATCAGAGTTTTTGATTGTAATCAGCAGAGCAGATTCTGGTGAATTTGAACAAAGTGGGATTTTATTGAAAGGATATTGGATAATTCAGGGTATCAAAAGAAAGGAGAAGGATCTGAACTCAGAAAGTTCAGGAAACCAGGAATACTTTGAGGACCATGGGCGGTAGGGACTAAGGAAATTGGTAAATTACCTCCAGATTGTTTCTCTTCCTTTGCCATTCTGCTTAAATGTCTAAAGTCCTGGAAAGGAGAATCAAGTTGGCCTGGCCCATATCCTTGATAGGGGAGAGTAAGACACTTTGGTTGACAGTCCCTCTAAGACTAGTATACAATAAAAGACTTCCCCAAGAGGAGATCTGGGTGCTTATTACAGGAAAGGGGAACTGGGTATGGATGGAAGGCAACCAAACAACAAATGTTCTCTGTACCTCTTCTCAGGGTTGTCATGAAGATATTAAACATACACTGTAAAATGCTGTAGAGGCGTAAGGAAGTAGTATTTCAACTTATATGAGAACCAAATTATAACCGTGTTCTTTAAGTAAATGAAGGTATTGGCATCAGTTAGTGAGTCACTTGAGTGACTAGAACAGAGAAAGTGACAATTTCATTCTTTTTAGCAATTGCTTTGGTTATAACATCTCCAAAGAAGCCACATTAACTTTAAATGAAAAACAACGTTTATAAATCCCAAAGCTTTCTGCTCCAGTTGTATGAAGATAAATACATGTGATGAAAAGTTCTATGATTAAAACTGGAAAGGCATTTGCTCACTCAAATTTCAAGAATCAATAGAATGCCTTTCATTGTTTTATTAATTGTTTTTATAATGTTTCCTAAATTTGCGTGTTTAAAATACATGCATAGAAAAAGAGCATACAGGGTGACTTGGAGATAAAATTGAAATGACAATTTCAAATTTGAGTTTTCATATAATGCTACTTGTTAGAGTGAGCAGGGTATGATGTACTTGAGCTTCAACTGATTGTAGAAGTATCTGACATTTCCCAATGCTGGGCAGAGGCTTGAGTGTTTTCGTATTCACCTGTGAGCCTAATTTCTTTTAAGGCCTATAGTCATGATCATAGAATAAGTGATTCTTCCCCAAATCATAAGTCTACTGTGCATAAGAATCCCTGTACGTATTATTTGAAATATGTAGTGGATTTTCAAAGCTGGGAAGGTATTCGTTGAGATATAATACTCTTTTGGGTTTTTGTGCTCTTATTGTTTCTTTCTTTGCAAGATCTTGATTTGCAATATGCAAGGAAAATGAGTGAACCAAAAAAAAAAAATTACTGGCATGGCTGGAAGTAGAAATTAATGATTCAAATAAGAGAGGCAGTACAGAAAGCCTCAGCTGGGTGGCAGGAAACAGAGAGAACGAAAGTCAGAGACTGCTCTTTTTTAAAAGGCAAAACAAACAACTCACAGTGAAGTGTACGTGAAAATCATTTCTAATAATAGCTCATGGTAGGCAATTCCCAGGAAAAAAATCGTTGATGCGCTGAGAAAATGAGAGTGAGAATGCACAGTATCTTGATGTGTTACTTAAGGCAATGGAGCTTTAGAGTTTACCTTATGTGCCATGTCCATTGATTAAATACAAAATATATGCGGGCCATTTTTGACCATCATTTACTGTATTGATTTGTTAGCAGGGGAACTGTAATAAAAAAGCCATTGATTTACTGCCCTTATTTGCTTATGGGCTTTTTTTTTTTATCATTAATTTTTCACTTTTTCTTTCTCTTTTTTGGATCATTTCTTCTAGACAAACGCTGTGCTTCGTGAAGTTAGAAGAGAGGGGGTCCCCGTGGAACAAAGGAACGCAATCTTGACTGCCATCCTTGCGTCACTCACTACACGCCAGAGTCTGAGGAGGGAATGGCGTGCCAGGTTAGTTCTGTTATGAGATGGGACTTATCGTTCCTGGAAAACAAGAGCTCTGTTTGCTAAGGCCTTCCTCACGGCTGGTCTCATCCCTCTCATTTGAGGGGCCATGAAAGATAAGCAGGTTACAGATGCTTTCAGCCACGAAGTTGGCTTTCCTGCACACGGTACCTACATTAGTTGTAATGATCCATGATGTCATCTGTATGTGTATATGATTTATCCCTGAGTGTAACATTTAGCATGTATGTTTGCATCTTGAGCATAATGTAATATAAGTACCTGATGCTGAAGAACCCTTTTAATCAACAGTCTAAAGTACTAGCATTGCTGCTTAGTTAGGCAGATGTCTGGGAAATCCGCAGAGTGCTCTTATATCACTCGGTGAGAGGCAGAGTGCTTGGAAGTAGTCCATTGATCAACCCCATTTTTAGAATTAACCGAGTAGGAATTACTTTGGCTTCAACCTAATTTCTTTGCACATGGACTTACCTGTGGTTAGAAAGCTGTTACTGGTAGAAAGTTTCTATAAATCATCAGTTTTTACAGAATTGATGAGTGCATACTAAGTATCATGTTATCCTGCTCTTATTTGAAAGACAATTGGTGGGTGGGTGGAAGGCTGGAACTGATTCCCCCATATGTTAGGGTTATCCTTTAGATGTGTAGTTTGTAAAAATTGTTGAATTATCATCTGTCTCTAAGCAAGAGGGAGAGGAATCAGAAAGATTATGCTATATTTTGTCTCAGAGTCTTATTTGATGCTTAAAAACCCATGTGGCTGAGAGTCAAGAACATTTATTGATAGTCGTAATATTCTCCAAATGAGTTCATGCAACAGAATTTACAATAATTGATGGCTTTACTAGTAGCAATTATCATAAAAATAGATTTGTCTGAACAAGGCTGAAGATGAGCATTTTCCAAGAAGGGAGACAGTAAAGAGTGTGAACTATCCATTCTGATTGGGTATCGGAAAGCCGCTTTTTCAAATGTGTGTATTACCTCTAAATTTAGACTTGCATTGAAACAATAATTTCTAAATTCCCGGTGGTATTTTCCCCTCCCTTCCCTTTTTGTAGTGTGGTCAGAGTAAATGACAGACAGTTTTAACTACAGTAATTCAATGATTTCCAATTTAAGTTTCAATAATTAATTTAAATTTTCTTTGTATTACAATTTAAGTATGTATATTCATTAAAGTATGTGTATTTTATTAAATAATGGAATATGAGTGTGGGGACATCTAAGAGGTTTCTCTCTCTGTTTGACCTTTGTATCTTTTTCCCCGATGATTCTTTTTAAATAGGAAAGGGAGAAAGAAAGAAAGAATTTCCCTGTAATCTCTCTTCCACCCCCCCACCCCCCATCCCTCCAAAGACAGCACGGCTCAGAGACCAAATTTTGAGAATGGATGTCTTCTGTTGAGTGCATTTGGTTTGTTAACAGTAATTTCCTAATACACCAAATCATCAGACAACATGGCCAAAATGGCCTGTTTAAAAGGAGTCTGGTTTCAGCATTTCTGGCCCCTACTGCTAACAATTTAATCAGGGGCTGGAGCCAGTGTTGAAGTTGATGTAGTCTAGCATGGGAAACAAAAATTCTCAAGTCCTTTGTGGTAGGAGAGGAGAGAAGAAAGAACTTAGCAGCTGACGCTATGCAGACCTCCTGAAAACTAAACACCTGAAAGAAAATTTCAAGAGGGTGGTGTCTTGAGAGCTCAGAAGGAAAAGTGTCCTCAGAGTATTAAATAACCGTAATCCTTCCCCCCACCCCTTCTCCACCCTATTTGATGTTTCCCATCCCGGTGACCTATCTGCAAGACTCATCCATATGATCCATATAAACAGACTGTTACCATACACCTTTCTTTTCCTCATCAAAGCTTCATCTGGCCGTCTGAAATCGGGCATTGCCTCAAGTAGCCGTCAGGCATGTGGTGGTGAAAGTTATAAACCATCCACGGCAGCGCTAACCGAGCTGCCTGTGTTTTAGAGATTGGCCTATTGTGTACTTTGGAATTACATGAGGAAAAATGTGCTTTGACAGAAAATAATTAGCGCTTGCCAAGGGCCAAGCAATGGGTTACAGTATCCTACTTTCATCAAAGCTATCAGGGGATCCGTTAGATTAGATAATAGAAATTTTTTCCTCTGAAAGTTAAATACAGATGACTCTAATTACCTTATATTGCACGTTAGAGAATGCGTTATGAATAGCACAACTTCAAGAAATTTAGGTCAACTGAGATTCCACAGCTGGCAGTAACTTTAGTATAGTCCATTGTAATAAAGATTTCCCACCCCCCTCCCGCTTCAGCAAGTTCCTTTGAGAGAATGATATTAGGGAGACTATTTTAAGCGAAACTTGTAACTTGGTTTTAAAATATTTGTCTCTCTCTCAGGCCAGGAGCCAAGCCATTGTTTGGGGCTCACTGAAGTCTCTTAAACTGGAAGCATATGTTCCCTGTAATTTAGCTTTTTGAGGGAAGTGTCAATTCTGCCTGACTTGGGGTAACTGAGTTTGTCACAGTGTCACACAACCCTGCGATTCTAGAGGCACATCTGAGTGCTGTGGGTTTCCTTCCCCAAGCTCAGTAATCCCATAAACAACCCTCTCCAAATAGGCTTATTAGGGCTGTCTATTCACTTCCCCAGAGTGGAATGATCCAGAGTACATCGGGAGAAGCTGTGTGAATGCAGGGTAAGTGTTAACAGAAGTGGTACAGAATTTCTGAAGATTTGGCTTTGTTTATACAGTCCACTCTGCCTGATGGACAGCTTGTGATAGCTTTTAAAGAACTGAGCAAGCCCTCTGATCTGACCCCTTCTTGACCTCTGCAGCCCAAAGGTCTGTCTGCAGCTAATAAACTCTGAGGTTCTTAGGGTCTACTGTAGGGAAAAGGCAGAAAAAGAGCAGCTGCAAGGACTGGCCATCCCGGGGTAGGCTGCTTGAGGGTCACTCTCTGATAATGAAAATGATTACCAAATTATATGGAAGTTTAACCGCAATAGTGAGTGAGAGGGGGGTGGAGCCCAGCGTATTAGGTTTGATAAATGAGCTGTGAAGAGGCCCATCTGGCTCTCGACGTCTTTTCTCCCCCTCTTTCCCTACCAAGGGGAAACATTTTAAAATAACAGCAGTACATATAGACTCAATGACCCATGCAAGGAGCTGGAATGGATTAAGATTTAATGGTGACAGTGGAAGAAATTATCATTTGAAAAGTGGACGAAAGAAAAGGTACAGTTCAATGTCCATGCCTGAGTTGTTTTTCTAAATAAAATATAAAAATCAGGTCCTTTGTTTATTTCACACAAATCCCTAGCATCTTTCCTAGATTGATGAAAATTTTGAGGGCGTGTTTATTATGGAGTAATTATTTGTAGTCAGCTTAAGGAAAGGAATGGGCTTCCTTTGCCTTGAACATGTCAGAATGAGAATCCATTTTTTTTTCTGCTTGCCTGCTCAGTTTAGAGAATGGAGGTAAATCAAGTATTGGAGAAAATGCTTTACAAAAAAATTGTGATCCGTTTCAGCATCTGGCCACCAAACATTATGCATTTTTTTGATACTGACTATACGTGTGACTCTTGCACACTGGTTTATTCTTACTACAGTTTGGCAGTTTTCCTGTAAAAATAAGAAAGATCTTAATGTTAATTGAGTAGATATGTTTCTTCCTTTCTTTTTTCCTTTTTCAAAGAAACATCATAGCGATGCTAATTAGTGCCAACAATGGGTAGGTCACAGATATATGATCACTTACTGTTAATTGATAAAGTCATCTATTCAAAACTCTCTTCCAGCTTCCTGTGAACGTTGAGTGTCCTGGTTTCTGACCAGTGACATTGGAGTTCACAAAGCTCTGTGCTCTTCTTCAGAGCCAATTGGCACAGCCCATGACTCTACCTTATGAAACAAGAAAGATTTTATTCAATAAGCATTTTTGAATATTCTGTGCACTACCATATACCAAATACTGCATGAGATGCTGTGCATGAGATAGAATGTGCTCGGCAGCCCATTTAAGAATGTATCTGGAGATGCAGATTTAGCCAGTTCCTAGAAAGAGGCTATAGTGGAGACATCCTCTCCACAACAGAGTGGCAAGTTGCTCTAACCCTCTCAGAAAGTATCGAATTGTAGATGTTTTTGAAGACTAGGATTGCTGTACTATTGTAAACCTCTTATATTGAACTACATTGTCTACATAATACAAGCCTCCCCTAGACGATAATAATTTTTAAAATAGAAATAAAAAGCTTCTGACATTACCCAAAGTTAGCATATTTTTCATCTTAGGTTTTGACTTGACTCTCCGTGTCCATGGGGATTTACAGCAGACAGAAAGCTGGGTGGATAACACAGAGAGATGAGGAGCACTCTTAGAATTAACTGTGCCTTTTAATTTTCGAGCAGTGTCTTTAAATTTTTGCTAAGTAAGGTACGAATACAAAAGATAAGATGAAAGCCAAGCCATTAGAGTTTATTAAATTGAGATATAATTCACATAACATAAAATTAATCATTTAAAAGTGTACAGTTAAGTGATTTTTTTAGTATATTTACAAGATTGTGCAACCATCACCATTATCCAATTCCAGAGCATTTCTGTTACCCCAAAATGAAACTCTGGACCTGTTAACAGCCACTCTCAGTTCCCCTGTCTCCCTACAGTCCCTGGCAACCACGAATCTCCCTTCTGTCTCCATAGATTTGCCTATTCTGGACGTTCATATAAATGGAATCATATAATACGTGGCCTTTTGTATCTGGCTTCTTTCATTTAGCATAAGGATTTCAAGCTTCATCCATGTTGTAGTATATAAATACTTCATTCCTTTTTATCGCCAAATAGTGTTCCATTGTATGGATATACCGCATTTTGTTTATCCATTCATCAGTTGATGGACATTTGGGCTATTTCTATTATTTGGCTATTATGAATAATGTTTTTAATGTACAAGTTTTTGAGTGGCATGTTTTCGATTCCTTTGAGT